GTGTGTGTGTGTGTGTGTGTGTGTGTGTGCATGCAAGCATGTTAGAGTGTGCTGGAAGAAAGAGACCGAGAGTGAGTGCTGCATGATAAGTGTGCAATGTGCTCGGCTGCTCCCATGGGAGACAGCCGATAGATAACGCTGACGTTGTTCAGATCCTTTGATAATGGCTGCAGGGATGGAGCAGGAAGGAGGCGGGGGGAACGAAGGCTTGTGGTGGCGGCTGTGTATGTTTGTGTGCTTGTTTGATGAGTGGGTGACAGTTTGGTCAGGTGGTTGTGTAGCCTCTACCCCATGGTGGTCACTGGGTGCTGTTGGTCTGAATTACATACTGCAGATGAGGGGATGGAGGGTCGGACAGCAGATCTGTGTGACCTTTAAAAGCCAAGTGTGCCTAGGGACAAAGTATGGGAATGCAGAATACTTTTATATGTGTGTATGTTAAAACGAGTGCTGGAAAAAGTGAGCAGTAGGGTCAAAGAAGGGAGAAAATGTGTTTTTGTCTGTGGGAAAGCAGAAAAGAGAGATTAGTTTCTATATGCGCTGGAGACAGACTTGTGTATTTGTGCGAACAAGTTCTTGCATGACTGTTTATTGATTCTACAAAGCCATTACTGCATGGTCAGACTGAGGGGATACACATACGATTGTGAGAGAGAGTTGCGGGTTTCACTGGCTTCATACCTGGAAGCCAAATAAACAACTCAGAACTGACCGATCTAAACGCAGAGCAATAAACTCACTGATATCTGAGACGCAGGGTCTGATTACTGGGTCATCAGTCAACACACCACAACGGTCGTACTATACCTGTTTGTATGGACTACCGCTGCGCAAAACTGGATTTTTTGCTGTGACGTATTCCGAGTCATAATGAAAGAAAAAAAAAAGTGAGGACAAATCTGATGTAAATTTCAATATGAAATGACTTGTTTTGAACCACAAAGACGTCTTCGGTGGTCACAAGTTTCTGTAAAGGGTAAAGGAGGGGTGGGACGGAATAGAGAGCAGAGATTGAAGCCACATGCGGAGGAGTAGCACACATCACACGCGCGCACACAGACTGATTGATTAATCTGGATTTTTTTTTCTTCTCTCTGAAAATTTCCACTGCAAAGCCAAAACAGACAATACTGCAGTGCGCATTCACACTAACATTTCAAGGGATTTTTTTCCGGTCAGCCACTTGCTTTACTTTAGTGTGACTTAGTCATATGATTATCTAGGTGACTCACAGGATTCTTCTCAACATGGGAGACTGAAGAGCTGCTGCACTGGGCTTTGCTCACAAACTAGAGCTGCAGAGAACAAAGAGACGGAGGTACTCTTCATCTTTAAGTCTCAGTTCTACAAGAGCACTGTAGCATGACAGAGGAAGTAGTTGTGTTCTCCCCACAGACAACTATTCTATGAAGACGTTTCTGATACTTCTCTAACTGTAGGAACAGTAGCACACGGTAGGAGGGATAGGTTTAGTCTCTGGGTAAGCCCGTGGTGATGAAGAAGGTGGAGGCTACAGAGGGATCAGAAGTTCAACATGGGACCTAAAAACAAAAAAATGGGAAACTTGTGAAAATACATAGTTTTCAGATTTCTCTCATAGGAGGTTTCTGCCACTTAAAACTGTTTACATGGGTGTGAGGATTTCCAAGGGTAGCTGGCATGTTGATTTTGGAATGATAGGCATTTAAACTTCAATTTCAGTTCTACTTTTCAGTGCCAGGTAGCCAAAAAACCCCAAAACAAGGAACATGTCCTTGTAAAAAATACAGATAACACACTGGAAATGTTGCATGTAGTTCAAATGAGGAAAAAAAAGAAGTTTCAAAGTAATGGGGACTTTTAAAGCATTGAAAAGCGTTAATCAGCTTTCTGCAACATGAACATTATGGATAAAAGAAAGTCATTTTCTGGGCTACCGGATTACAGGAATCTCATTTCTGCAGCAAGATTTCTCCTAGAGAACAGCGATTTGTTGTGTAACTGAGTTTATCAAATGCACGAAACAGGACAAAGACTTTGTTGTTGTGACAGCAGAGCTGTGGGGATGATGTAAAGTGATGCCAACACTTTTTCACGATAATTCGAAGAATTTATAAAAAGCTAAAAGTGAGACTAAGTCGTTTGTTACAGAGTTACCAGAGAAAAAATACCCAGTAAGCAACCACTCGCTGGGGAAAATGCCTTGTTGATGCCAGAGGTCAGAGGAGAATCGCCAGACTGCTTTAAGTTGACAGGAAGGCAACATTATCACTCATTGCAACCAAGGTATGCAGAAGACCATTACATGACATGCACAACATGTCAACCTTGAAGCAGATGGGCTACAGCAGCAGAAGATTACATCGGGTCGTATTCTTGTCAGCTAAAAACAGGAAACTGACACTTTAATTCACACAGACCGACCAAGGTTGGAAAATAGAAGACTGGAAAATGATGCCTGATCTGAACATTCAGAAGATTTGGTCAAAACTGGGTCTGAATTAGGTCTGCCTTGTTTCAACGGTTTAGGCTGCTGGTGGTGGGGATGTTTTCTTGGCAGAGTTTGGGCTCCATAGTACAACTTGATCATTGTTTCAATGCCACAGTCTAACAGAGTATTGTTGACGACCCCATTATCCCTCCCTAAGTCTATCCCTCTTTTGATGCTTAACAAAGCTTAAATGATCTCAACCTAATTTCTTGAACATAACAATAAGTTCACTGTACTTATATGCCCCCCACAATCACCAGATCTCCGTCCAGTGGGACATCTTTTGGTTTGGTGGAAAGGAGCCTTGAATCATTGATGTGCAGCTTACAAATCTGCAGCAACTATGTGATGCTGAAGACACCCGAAACTGGTATCCAGGAAACGTAAATAGCAGCAAATCTGCTGGTGTGGCCATAAACACCACATTCACCACAGCCCAGGTCGTTTGGGGTGACTATCCTCTGTATGCTCCTTGTCCGGCTCCTCACCTTTTGTGCCTCCACTGCTGGCCCAACCACTGAAAAGTGCTGTTCTGTTTCTGAGTCATGTCTGGAACAAGTGACGATCCTTGACATGAAAGTTGGGTCAGCTTCACACAGAAGTTAATGTTTGCTTTGTGAGCAAGTTTGGTGAAATCTCAAATGAGATTCTGCAAATGATCAGAATGAGACTTTTGTAAGGCGATCCAAACTTAGCAGGAGCACTTGAAATGGTGAAGAGGTGCATTTGACCTTAAAGAATACTGGGCCAAATTTGAATCAATTACAGTTTTTTCTGTTTTTATGGGAAAACATGCAACTTGTATACTGTCCAACTTCCTCCCTATCATCCTCCCCATCTTCTTTTTTATTCATATTTATGTATTCGAGGTTGTTGTTAGTGCTGCTTTTTTAAAAACAGCATTTCTCAATGTTGTGAGTTACACATACTATATTCCTTTGCACTCATTATCACTGGCTGGCTGAAACAAATTTAAATATAACTAAGATTAAGTGAAAAAAATGGTTTTTTTTTTAAAAAAAAAAATTGTAAATGATGCAAATTAAACTTCATTTATAAATAAAATATGAGGCTTTAACAGGAAACATGTTTGCGCAACCGTGAGCAAGAAAGGAATGAATTTCAAGAGAGTAGTCAACGCCAGATAGAGAACGGGGGGGGCGAGATAAGAAGGTGAGTCCCAAAGACACAGAGGAAACCTCGTATCACAGGAAGCTTCTCTTGCAAATGTCAGATCCTCCTAATCGTGGCTTCGCTTCCCTTTTCAGTCCCTGGAGCTCGACATCATATGAGCACTTACAACGATACCCACAAACCAAAGGGAATCACATGTATACTTACCCATACAGGCAGGGATCCTACATAAACATCACATCCTGCTGGGTTTTAGGTCCACATCAAAGTGGATTATAGGGTGGACGAGCGCTACAGTGACCGCTAGCAGACATAGCACTTATTATTACTGACCTTGATATGTTGACGCCACCCTTGTTTTAAGGAAATGTTGCAATGCTTCATCTTCACAAAAAAGTGCACAAATATGTAGTCTTTTTATATGCCTGTCATTTTCCATTATTTTAAGGTTCATTTTACTTTTAATCGTATACCGTGCATGCATTTTTACCCGCGTCTGAGGGCTGACAGTCTTACTTCTGCTGAAGACATGCATTATACCTCTTATAAAAGTGAGTCAGCAAAACCTAAACAACCCAGTGCACCAGTTTTATATGAACCAGTCCTGCATAAACACTCAAAAGAGAAAAACCAAAAAAATCCCAGCTAATCTGTACTTCCATGCTGCAACATAGAGCTGTCACGGATTAACTAAGAGTAACAACTTCATAGTCAAGTTCAAGTGAGAGAGTGAAGTGGGTGTTGTGTGTGTTGAACCACTTGACTACTGCAGCGATGCAGAGGCCTAGCAGAGGCTGGCTGCTCCCACCTGAGAGTTTGTGTATGCGTCCAAGTGCCTACGCGGGTAAAGAGACCTGCCAATGCAATGCTATTAAATGCACATTAGTGTGTCTATGACAGAGTCTCTCAAACATTTTGTGCCCAAGGCACACCTAAGGAAAAGCCAAAATTTCAAGGCACACTTATATGCATATGTGCACAAAACCACTTCTATGTGATCTGACACATAATCCGTTTGTTTGATTGTATTGTAAGCCAAAGGCACTTTAAACAGCTCGTTTGTGGCCGTCTGAGGTTTCTTTGTCTCTGTAATAAGCTCCACTGCAGCACTGATCTCCGCTGCCTTATCAGACACTTTCACACAGTCCAAAAAACAGTCTTACTGCCTCTTGTTGAGATCATGACCTCTTTTGTGGTTTCTTTGAGGGGGAATGTTTGGTTTCCAAGTGTCTATTGAGCTTGCTTGGAACCATGTTAGCATCAACCACCTTGTCTCAACAGATTACACACTTGATCTGAGTAATGCAGACATCCCAGGTGCACTCATAGTCACACACAGGGAGTTTCTGCATACTCTTTAATGAGTAAGATTGTTGATTAACTGAAGTGGTAGTTAGTTTTTGGTTGCATCACCCAAAAAAGTTTCTTATCTTCATGCTCTCATAATACGTACCATTTGCAACAAAGTGAACAGACTGGGGTTCCTTTTCACAGAAGTTATTTTTAAGAACTTGTCCAGGGCATAGAGCTGAATCCAAATGCAGATTCAGTGAATTAGCAGTTCATTGCAGTTGTATGTTGCAATAACAACTGAAGTATTTGTGTTTTGAGGCAGAAATGAGCCGGCCAGTAGTGGCAAATACTGGTCTAGTAGTACTTCACACACTTAACACGCATATATTTTCATTTTAAGACTATCTGAAAAGAATTCTTTTGCGATTGTGCTTTATTTCAGTCGTAATTCTGAGTCTGTTTAATACACCAACATGCTGCATTAATATCACTTTGTCAACACGTGTAGCTAAGTGAATGAGTGTTTCATTGGAGAGGAGAGGTTGCATACAACTGTGAAACCCTGGAGAGATGCTACTAAACGTTGTGTACGCTTCCAGCAGCAATGCAAGGAGAAAGTCTAAAGAGGGAGGAGGTGTGGAGAAGAAAACAGGAAAAGGAGAAAATTAAAACCATACTCTATATCCCTTCCTGGAAATATTACACCCCTTTCAGAGGATTTTCTTAGAATTTGCTTTTGCTACTGTATGGAGAGGAAAATGAAAGCACAGTCAGAAATAGTGAGTTCTTTCAAAGTGGAAGCAGTAGTTTGTATGTTCTGGATCAGGGATGAGAAAGAGCTGTATTACAGGAATAGTGTAAAATAGGAGTAGGTGGGCTGTCTTGGCTTTAACTCAAGAGTGCGACAGTTATAAAGAAGGTGTGTGTGTATATGTGTGTGTTCTAATGTGTTTATTCTGGGGGGGCGCTGAGTTTATACTGGCCTTACTGCAGCAATACTGGCTGTAGAAGGTCCTTATCGCTGTCTATACGCCTACATGACGTGGATGACCATGATTAATGGCAGTGGTAGTGCTCTCTGCTAAAACGGTACTCGCTTTGTGAAGAGACTACACAGAAAAAGCTAAAAGAACCAGTTCATTCCTCCTTCCATCTCTGCCAGTCAGAATGAGACGTTTACCTGGACAGAGAGTCGGATGTGATAGCGCTGGGCTCACAGACACAGCGCAGATGCCAAAAAGCTGTCGGTAACAGAGAAGTTAACACAAGTCCAGTGTGTGTGTATGTTTAAATGTCTGCAAGAAAAACAGAATAAGAATCAGTAAGAGGGGACCAAGAAGCCGACTGAACTAAGAGAAGATCAGATCCAATGATGGAGAGGCAGACATAAGATGTGATGATGGAATAACGCTCTACTGACAATAAGATTTAAAAGACATAAGATATCTTCCCCCAATGCCATTTACTTTACCAGACTCTGTCCCACACTCATCTACCAAAGGCAAACAACTGGAACACTTCACATTTTCGGATTTGTTTTAAAACATTAAGTACGTATTGAAATGAAGTGTGAACATGAAGCAAGTGTCCAAATGAACACTCTCGATTTCAAATGGTGCTTGAATTTGTTAGTGCCACCAATTGCTTGGTTTCCTAGCAACTTGCTGGCTCTTGTGTTTTTAACTACAAGTCTGAACTGGTCATGAGAACTAAATCACTTATCTGATAATACAGCTTTCTCCTAGTTTAAAAGTATACAATTTAAGTTAACTCATGCCTCTAATTTGGCTGTAGGTGAGGTACCTGCTTAAGTGTGTGGAAGATGTGCTATATGAAAAACTAAATTGCTTTGAGTGATCCTTAAGGGCAGTCAGTTCTATCCCAATGATAAGGAAACATTAATGGATTATTACGTGTCTTGCAAATTTCAAATTTAATTTGTTTTTCATATTTAGCTTAACTGAATTTTCTCTTACTGGATTATGTTTTTATCTTGAATCAAAACTAGGATATGTGAGCCACACATGAGAACCATGTATCTAGGCTCTTAGCGCATGTACTGTTAAATAATTTCCATGAAAAATAATCACATCTTAGCCGATGTGTCACAAGACAAGGCACGTAGACCATTAAGCAATTGAGGAAAACAGCAGGAATATAAGGAGAGACGGAGTTCAAATGTTCCCTAAAACTGAGGCCCCCTCTCATTTCTAAGGCCTGTGTCTGCTCAGTCGAGAGGTCAGCTGAGTAGGTGGAGCAGGAGATAAGCCTATCTGTGACTGTGTCCATCACACTCCTGAAGACACCAACAGACACAACAGAAAATGACCAGACACCAGATGGCAAGTAAAGAAAGACTCCTTTTTACTCATTCCTTACTATCTCCTTCTATCTATTGGCTGGACCTGCAGTTCTCAGTAGGGACACTTTGATAACATGGACCATGATTGAAGACCAACTAAATACACCCCGATTGTAGCATGTCATAAACTAAACAAAGCTGGGGCATAGCATGGAAGACAAAAGAACAGAAACTAAAGGGGAAAAATGGGGGAGGAGAGAGAAAAAAGTGTATTTTCAAGTCTCTTTGCGTGATGAGGGGGTGTAAGAGGAGAGGGGCTGTAAAAAAGAAAAGGAGGAGGTGGTGGGGGCGTTCCTGTTGGCTCAGCGCTTGATTAACACCAGGCCTGACAGGAAATAACCCGGCCAGTTCAGCGCCAAGAGAGCTTCCATCTGGTATCGAGGCTGAGTCCTCCACCCAGGAGAGCTCCGAACTGAGCAAAAGTGAATGAAACCGTTTCACTTCCAGGACTGCTGAGAATAATTCCACTGCTTGTACAGGACACTGCTGCAAACACTGTCATTCTGTTCCTGTTGTTTGAGGTCAAATGAGGCAAAAGCAGTGCAAGGCTGCGGTCTTTCAGTCTAGACCTCGATAATCAAGATCACCTTCTTTTATTTTATCAGTACTCGGTGTGGCTATTTGGTTACTTGAACATTCAGTGACATGATTGAGGTGAAACTTAGACTCCACTGATTCAAAATGTTATTTAGGATGGTTGTGGAAGGGAGGAAAGGGGACAGTTTAGGGAGGAAAGCGGGTACATTAGGAGAGGTCATCTTTCACTGCTGACTGGAATTCTAAATGTAAACAAGTTCTTCCGCACCAACAGATAAAACGCAGATATGCTGTAAAACCAAGTGGGTCTGGTGAAAAACTGGTGACTCACATGCAGGCATCGTGAACCACACTTCTACACTTATTCATGAATACTTTTTGAGCTATGACCATGAAAGTGCAGAAAAATCGCACAGAGACCTCCGCAGACTCAAACAAAAACATCCTCCGAGGCCTTATTTAAATTCTTCTGCAGGCTGTAAAGCAGAAGCCCTATGTATACAAGTACAGACCCAAAGATGCGTTTGTGCAGAGAGGCATGCAGGTTTCGATCAGCCTCCTCAGCCGGCTCGCTGTCCAGGGGTCAAAGCGCAACCCACGCCTGCACTGACGCGTGCGTAGAGGCCATGGGCCGCGGGCTCATTTAGAGTCCCTCAGGAGCCAGCCTCTATGCGCCTCTGGTATGTATTTCTTCCTTTGCTTTGTTTAGCAAGCATGTGCGTATGTATTTGCAAATCTGTGTGGGATCTCGATAGTCTCCTTTTTCATCAAGCCTAACTCCCAGCAGAGAGATAAGTGCTTACAAGCCTTTTTATGATGTGCATTTCCTGTCATAAATAAGAAGCAGAGGGATTCTCAGACGAGCGCTAACACACTCCATAAACCAAACAGAGGTGTAAACTCCACACTGGGCCAGTTCTGTGAAATCCACCCAACAAACAGCAGCTACTGCTGACTAAAATGATTTGCTGCCGAGTGATCAGATCACAGGTATCATTTATAGCTCATGCAGTCTCAGAAAAAAGTCTTAAAACTGGGATGCCAAAGGACTTTTTGAGTCTTCTAATGTGATTAAAATAGTGGATTTTTGAGTATAATAAGTACAATAATAACAAAAAGTATAATATGCAGCAATATTCAACTGAATGTGGATCCATCCATCCATCCATAGATAGCAGCGGCAAGTTAAACACCAAAAACAGGATTAAATACTTAATAGCTTTGAAAAGAAGGTTTACTAGTTTTGAACATAGAGACCAAAAAAATCCAAGAAAAGAAAATCAAAGTAATAAATAGTTTATATGAACAGGAAAGCAGTTGATTAACCCTGAATGAAAGTTGCATGATTGTAGAAACTTTAAACATACCACGAACAAATTCTATGAAAATCCATGAAAAGGTCTACTTTTAAAATATTTCTTCTTTTTCCCCATTAACAAGTATAATCACTTTCAGCCTGCTAGACATTATGTCATCAATACGTTGTTATTTGAAACACAACATATCCTTTCAATTCAATGGACGACACGCCAAGAAAATGTTGTGAGAAACTGAAGCGGACAGACAGAAGCGCTGGGCTGATTTGATTATGAGTATTATAAGTATGTGATTCATCATCATCTACACATTTTCCCTTTAGCCCTGTCAAATGGCATGTATATTACATAGCTAGCAGGAAATAAGAAAAGGTATAGTATCTGGAGGCAGTGCTGAGAAGCAACCACAGTGTTGACTTGGGAACAGATTTCTTGGGTGCGAGACTCTGGGGCTCATCAAGCTCTGTGTGTGGCCCAGCCTGCTAACCAGGCCTGCCTGGCCCGGCAGTGAGGACTCTGATGAGCTTTTGCTAATTAAAGCCTGAACTCCAAATCTTGAGCTTATCTGATGAAGTGAACTAGAGAGAACAACACCACAGGCTGCTTTGTTCACCCTGGGGCGTACGGTTTTCACCTCATATATGTATGCATATGTGTTTGTATAACAGTAGCGGAAGTAAAGAGAGACCACCAATTAAAAATAATTGGGACTAATTTCATAAACATAGCGCAACAGGGGGAATATATTTAATCAGGCGTAATCATTAGACTAACTTATGCTCCGCTTCCCCCCTGCAACCAGCTAGGTGCTTAAGGGAGGAGAAGACAGAAAGGAGAGATGCAAGGAGGCAGAAAAGAGAGAAAAGGGAGAGAAATGGAAAAAGGAAATATAAAAACAAAGAGAAGTAAAGTTTAAAAAGTAGGCAGAGCGTGTTGGTGGCCAGAGTTATGTGAGATCCCTTTCATGTCCCTTGACTGGCCCATGCTGCTGTGCCAACCCAAACAGCAGCATTGGGGAGGTCCGAGTCTCCGACTGCTCCCCTCTTCCTTACCCTGTGCACACCCCACTGACAGGATGAATAACAAACAAAATGTGCGACTGAGAAACAGAGTGAGAGAGAAGAACATGCCGTGCAACCATTTCAGTTAAGATTTTCCCTAGAAGTTCCCTAGAATACTGTGACTTTCTTTCCTTCTTCTGTCATCGCAGTGAGTAAATCATAAGCATCAGCACAAATTGTGGACTGCCCGCCCTGTACGCCCCCACACTGACATAAGTATAGACAAACTACGATCCATCATCCGTAGCCAGCTAGATGTGATACAAAAGGGAATTAAGAACATTTGAATCGGCCCGATTTCTTTTTTTGTCTTCTGCACCCCAATGCTGAGAGAAAAAAGGGAAAAAACAGAGGGAGTAGGTTTGATTCTGAACCAAAGAAAACCAAAATTTACCAGGGCTGACAGGAAACAAATCCATAAAGCACAAAGTAATGCAAATTTTTTGCTCTCTTACCACAATAAATGTAGTTTTTCCCACAACTGAATGAGGGATTAACAGTAAATGCTCAGAGCTATTTACAACCTACACACATCACACACACCACATCCACATACACTACAGTCTGCCAGCAGCCAATCACATTCTAGACTTCAGGACAAACTGGGCTGCTTCTCCAATCCCATCATTTGCTCTCTGTGTGCGGCGTTGCCTACAACCAATCCAGATCGTTCCAGATGTGGTGTTGGCTGCGGAGCATTTGGTTTAAGAGCTCATTTCCCAGTCTGGAATAAGTGGAACAATTTTCTTGGATGAATACTGTTCAGCTCTTTAATCAAATCCATACCCTAATACAACAATACATGCTGCACACACACTGCAATATGTCTATAGTATATAGACACATGCTAACAATGAAAACAAATCATTGCTCTTTGCACAAATCCAAATTTACAACTTAAAGAAGCGCTGCTACAAGAAATTACTGGTGATATTCTAGCCATTATTAATTTATATCTATTAAAAGGTCTTCAAGGGCTTTAAATCATCCCCTTGCACTGGCCAACATGTTCTCTCACTACCACAAACATTAACACTGCAGTTTATTTTGAGCCAGCCCCATATTCATGGTCCAGCTGCCATAAATATTTAGTAGTGTGCCAAATCTTTTGCTTAAAATAGCCCCTCAAAATTATAGTATTTAATCCAGTTTGAGTAATTTTACTAAAGACAACACTGGCAAAATGAAATTATTTTCATAACCAATTTTTTTAAAAGGGTTGGGACATATGAACTGGGGTTTCAGTGTCACAGACTAAATGGAAAAATGAAAAATTATTACACATTGTTGGTAATCATTTTCTGGGATTTTTGATGGGGTAACCACAATTAAAACAATTAAAAAAATAATAATGTTTTTAATTTCTTTAATTTTTGGTTCATAGAGCTTTGTGAATCCGTGACACCTTAATGGGCTTCTTGGTCAACTGTTGCAGCTGCAGTGCTCATTATTAAAATATAAATGTGAGCATAAATAAATTTTGGGTCTGAGAAATGAAGCCAATAAGGTAACCTGAATTCTTTCTAATGGACAATTCCTCAATCAAGAAAACTGATTATACATAAGGCTTCTTTGCTCTATAACCACATTAAGCACTTCCCACAATGAGTTTATGGTCAGTACTTTTAAGACTTACTGAAGATATTCTGTTCGTTTTATATGGCACCCACTAAACGATGTCCTCAAATAAAGTAATTTGCTCATCATGCATCAATTCTAACTCAGAGCTGGCTGCTAAAGGACATTCCTGACTCCAGTTATGCAAGAACCCCTAAAATGTGTTGACAAACTGCTCATACAGTATGTCAGTAAACTGTAGCCTTGACTCCCATTGCTAGTTCATTTGATTTCTGGCCTTAAAGTTCAGTTTAACTCATGACCTCACCTTACTGTGTCACTAACATTAAAAAAAAAGAAAAAAAAAAGAAAGATTATATTTCGTTGACAGGACTGAAATGTTAGGGTGGTTCCTGAATAGCATTCAAACATTACTACTATGGTAGAATTTAGCTTAAGCATTTACATGACATTATTAAATGTTTTAGCCAATGGAAAACAGCTGATCTCACAAGTTGAAATGCTCATCTAACTCTTACTGCCTTTCTAATCAATGAGTGTGGGGGTGGGAGCTAACGTAGCAGTACTGCCTAGCACTAGCACTGTCAGTTCACGAAGAATTTTGGTACGCATAAAGAACAAGTACTGTCGTTTTTAGCATTATGGTCCTGGTTACTTGCCTATGGCCGGCTAGCTTTATCTGCTTAGATGACAACAATAAGATAAACCACCTTTTTTGGAGTGCATTATTCTCAAACATATGAAGCTAAATAAAACCGATGAAACAGCCTTTTCACAGCTAGCGTGTTCTAGTTTAAAAAAAATCAGTGGAAAAAAAACGTAACAAAACCAAAAAAAACGTATTTCATATCCAGAAATGGGAAAAAAAGTATATTTATGCTTTTTCATGTCGAGAATGAAACCTCACCTTGCAGAATCAGATGTAACATATAAACATGCCAAATCTATCATTGACTGTTTATCTATAAAATCATTCAGTATTTATCCAAGGACTAAATAAATGAGTGTGGCAAATGATAATGTATGCTGACTAATATGAGAAGATTTAACTGCAAGCTTAGAATTCCCTTTTGTTTGAAAGACGCCGAGTTTTCTCAAGGTACACATATATATGCTACTGTAGAACAGTCTCTCGCTGCCCCGCCCCCCCAAAAAAGACAAGAATAAAGTCTGGAAGCTTGTTTACTCCACCGTGGACTCTCGAGCCCTCAATTTCTTCAAATGTTAACACTGTCTACAAGGCTTGATATTTGTCCCTGATGCAAATTTGTGAGTTGAAATTCACTCAACTCATGGGGGGAAAGTTTTCACCACCCCCATTAGCATTAATAAAAAAAAAACCCCACACACACCAAACACCCACCTTATCCTAACAGAAACATTACTCAAACGGGGCTTTACTAACCCTTGCCACACACATGCTGTCTGAATATATTTAAAAGTTAACAAGAGTTTCATGAAAACTAAAGTCCACGGGGGCTGGCAGCAAACATCGAACAGAAAACAATTCCACACGAGGAACACCATTTCCTGAAGATGCTCTTTAATTAAGTTCCCAGAAGGAGGTAGTTAGAAGGGTTAGGGTGTGTTGCTGCTTACTATCACAAACTTATTTGTCCTTATTTCTTACTCCCTTTCACTGGCATTCTGGCTTGTGTATATTATTCTTGTGTTTCTGCACTATGTTTGTGCATGCGCTGTGTGTTTCTGTGTATCTGCATCGTGTTAGCTAAGCTCTGGCTGTGTACTGTAGCCAAGGGGAACAAAATAAAAGAATTTGTAAAAACATTGTTCTCATGGCGACCAGGTTTCTTTGAATGTCTGGTTTTCATTTGAGTCCTTTAATTGGGGAGAATGTCACAATCAATGTTTTGCTCTGGATGCTGAAAGAGACGACCTCCCGACTCATGTTACCCCAGCCAAGCACTTCATCGACTGCCATAAAGCCTTTCTCGCAGACATTCGTGCATGCACACACACACACACACACACACACACAGACTCAAATTTAAAAGAGTGTACACACTGCCAAATTACACTGAATGGGCGAGACGTGCGCAATGTGAGTACATACACACATTGTTTTTTTCTGTCTAAAGCACACCTGGCACACCATGACAGGCTAATTTGCAATGAAGTGTTTATAACAGAGAGTCAGGTTTTTAACATGAGCCACATCTCACAGCCTGTGCCTGCCAAGAGGCCCCTCGCCTCTAAACTGCATTGGCCAAGTAGAACAGGAAGAAGAGAGAGACCGAGTATAAGAAGGGAAAGAGAGAGAGAAAGAGTAAAAATACAAAAGATGTGTCACTAATCTTTATTACTGCTTTACATAGATTTACCAACCCTATATGTACACCATATGACCCCATGTGCCATATAAGATGAAAACCCCAATCCCAGTGTAATATTTCAGGGCGTGTGCTAAGGTACAGCCAAAACTAAAAGCAGCGCTAATTATGAACTATGTGGTAGGGGAGGAGAGGCTCAAGGTTAAAGACGCCATTACTCTGGGAGGTACAGTCGGCTGTGGTGTGGAGGAAGACTGTTAATTCATCTTATGAGCTGGCCTTGATCTTCTCTGCCACATGGTTACATGCTCAGCTAAACCAGTGAAATGTCTGGTAAAGTACAGAGAAAATCAATATACTCTCACGGACTCCCATAGATGCACACATTACAGGTAAATCTTAATATTGTGGAAAGGGAAGCTGTAGAGGTTAAAGGTAGAAGTAATTTCTCTCTCACACCTATCCAAATATACAAAGTTCCCACAGCCACTTGGCCAACTGACTAGAAAATGCGTGTAGGTGTGTGTGCACTATAGTGTGTGACACGAGAAAAGGATGAAGTGTCAAGACAATGATAAAATGACCCCTATTCCAAGAACTGGGGCAGCAATAAACAAACCATTTGCTCTCATTTTCCTACAGCGCGTCTGCAAAACTGAACAACCGCAATGGCAATAACTTTCTCTCACCAGTCAGTTTCTGAAGCAATGGGCTGAGTTCTGTTTCTCGACTGATGACTAGGGTGAGCGCTCCTATCAGGTCCCTCTCCAGCTTCTCCAGCTCCTCCTCCTCCTCTGTATCATGATCTGCAGGCTGGGTCTCATCAGCCAGGGAGTAGAGATAGACCAGCAGGAGGATCAGCTCATCGGGACCTAACTCGTCCTCCCTGAGCCTCGACCCTGAGGCCGAGGTGTCCTCGACTCCACGGGGCTTCATCAAAGGCAGCAGCTGCCTCAGCACAGCAGGGAAGTCAGCGTCTCCGAGAGCCTGTGACACGGCACACAAACACGTAAAAAAGAAAAGAAAAAAGGGCTTAGTCGGTGGAATGCAGTTTTTTGAACCTTGCTGGTTTTATTATTTTTAATGACCATACCAAGAAATGACCACTGGCTTATTAAGGATGTTTGTCATAGGAATCATTGGACATGTTTGGAAAACATATTTTCTTGCTGGAAGTGAAATTAAAATATCAATACAATTTTGCATGCCATATATGAAGCCACCACAATTAACCTGTTAGTTTAGCTTAGCCGAAAATCCAAGACTTCGTTAAATGCTGTTTAACTCTTTAGCAGAGGCTTATATTTCCAGAATAAATGACTTCCAAACACACAATTACTTCACACTTTTCAAAAAGTAATTATTTTCTTTGTTTCTTTGTTTTAAATGAAACTAAGAAATTTTAATGTGTGGTGAACATAAAATGGCTAGGATAGGATAGGACATATAGAGTGCTTTGAAAAAGTATGATAATCAAATTTAAACATTACACAAAGAGTAAATACCAAACTAAACTCAACTAAATTCTATATCTAACTGGCAACTATAAAGCTAATAAGCTTTAGCAAGAGCATAGCTGTTGCCTTCAAGGCAAGGGTCATATGCAGGGTAGCTGAGTTAGCATTACAACACCCACGCTAATCTGTAATCGTGATTACTGCAAGATGTGCTGGTTCTTACGTTTTCTTTTCTAATGAGCATTTGTGTAAACAGGAGATTTACAAAAAAGTTTAAGATATGACAGGTAACATACAGTTCAACAGTTACATTAGAATCCTTTAGTTAACGCTAAATTTCATATTATTTAAATGCATAGAAAACAAAGTCATCTCTTTAATAAGAAACTTGCTAATATGGACAATATAATCAATATATCTATATAAATTACACAGAAATGAACATTGTAGAGCACATCATCTTAGAAATGTATTTTATTTAGAGAATAATAGAAATGTGTACTTCAAGGAGAATATTGTTTATAATAAAGTACACATCACACTGACTATATGTTTGACAGTATTGTTTTAAAGGGTATTTTTTTTCAATGGTACAATGGGAAGTAATGGATACCCCATCACTATAATATAATATAATATAATATAATATAATATAATATAATATTGTATAATATTTACAGTCTGTCTTACCTTCGGATTTTTTTGTTTATTTACTGCAGATTTTTATGTGTTTTTTACTAATATTTGTTTTAAGTATTTTTATCATTTTAATATAGATATGAGACAAAACTCAACAAGGACCCTTTATGTTTATGTTGGTTATTCAGTCACCGTCACAAAGACATCCAAGTCGAAATAAACTGCACTGAATCCTCCTTACTCTTTTAACTACACTGGAAAATATCCAAATGAAATAAATTTCCAGAATAAAGTCTAAATTTTATTTTTGTTTCAGTTTATTACTTCCACATACAATACTATGCAAAGTCTCGAGCCACCCACACACTCGAAGAGGATAAAGAGGTGGTCCAGCGTGTTCCTCCTGAATCTAAGATTCGACTAACAGATGAGCGCTCCTTTCCAGGACTTTGGCATAGAGCTTTTTAGGGAGGCTGAACAGTATGACCCCCCTGTAGCTGGAGCACACAATTTAAGATTCTCCCTCTCTCAGAGTGAAAAAGCTGCCAATGTCAAAAGAAAAACTTTGAAATACGTTCAGAAAACTTGAAGAACTTTTGCTCAAATCCACTATAAAACAGCAAAATATGAAAGTCACTATTTTGACAGGCCCCCATTGTTCTGATGTCCCAGTTACTCATTTCTACTCCCAGTGGACATTTTACATAAACAAAAATCCAGAATAAACTGCATTGGGAGATAAACTATTTCGATCATTTGATTTAATTAAACCACAAGTATACATTCTTGATGACTGACATAAGCGTAAAAATACTGTGTTGCGTTGTAAGTGTTTAAAAATCACAGGGACAGTGTGAGTGAGCTCATCGTTCCATTTGCTAATTTTACAACTCTGGGTGGCTGATGTAACGCTTAATTTTGTTTTAGTCTTTTTTTGGATTTGCTCGGGTACCGAACTATTTTTTTCCCTCTCTTTCTATCACAAATGCACACATACAAAGACACACACTCACAAAGCCAACATTTGGAGCAATGTTTAGGTGCAGTGACCTGTTTTTGTGAGCCTGTCTGAGCAGGTCTGAATAGTCGGGCCCTCACGATGGTTGGATGGCATTCTGATCCAACGTGCTGCAGATCACGGGACCGTTTACAGAACACTGGCTACTCTCACAACAAGGGTGAGCTCACAGACCTATAAAACAAGGGTGTGGATCTAATCTGTCCGATGAACAGCATGAAATTCAAATGGGAAAAAAAGGGCTGAAGGCTCAAAAAGACGAAAACAGAGACAGGAAAGACTCACAACAGAGGGAAAAGTCAAAAAAGCAATGCAAAAAAAGATACTAAGGTAATAAATGAGTAATTAACCTTCAGATGATAGCATAAAGGGGGGGCTGAATGTTAACAGAGGATATTATGTTTGTGTTGGCTGTAGCTACAAATGCCCACATGGATCTATTTCATTTTGACAAGAGATTCTTTTGTAAAGACGTTTGTGTTTCTTTCACCAAGACAAACAGGCCTTCAGAATGAGCAGCTCTCGATGTTGTGGTGGGCCCAGTGGGGGGATCCTGTATCTGACCCAGAAGATCTCCTCACTGAGCCAAAGATGCAATACAGTCCAGAAATGGTAAGCCAAAGCCACAGAGCTGACTGACTGTCCCTTGTCACACCAAACAGTTATCTCAGTATAAGGTCACCTACGATGACGCCAGTGAAGTCTTTGATTTCATGCATCATAAATAACTTAATATGAATGAAAGTGGCAGGAAAAGACGTTGAAGGTGAATTAATCAGTATCATTCACGTCCTTTAAACATGCAGGTATCACAGAAACAGAAGTCTCTTCACTCCAACGAGGCCCCCTTCCTGCATCAGACCCCGGCCAACCACTCGGCCCTGGGGACCGTTCAAACACAATCCCACCACACATTTTTCTTCTTAAACATTGTGAAATCAAATACCTCTCCAAGCTGCTCTCATTTGAACTGCCAAACAATGCTTTCCCTCACTCGTTTCACTTGCGGACGGCAGTGAGGAAAGACAGACAAAGAACATTATGGCTTCCTTGTTGAAATGCAAACTGCTGAGCACTTTCACCCTCCTCTCTAACCTTAGAACAAATATTGATTTCTAACACTTCTGTCTATACCACGACGCTCAACCTGATCTTTTAGGTTTGAAAAGAAGCGTGCCACTGTCAGCAAATTACATTTTCATTTTGACCACAGTTGGCTTGAAAGGTACCCGTTGTCATGTAACTTTGGCATCAGAAGCTTTCAGCATATGGTACTGCAGAGAAAGCTGAAAGGGGAGCTCTGGAGTGTTTCTGGGGCCCTACAAAAACTACCTCACTCAAACAGTGTACTACAAGTGTAGAAGATTCAGTGTTTTTAGTGTTTGCTCCTGCAGTTAAAGTTTCAATTTGACACGCTAAACAGTCTTATAATCATTACAAATGCCTCACTTATGGTATTTACACTACAACAGAGGATGTAAGCATTTGATAATATTATAACACAGAAAATTATTTAGTTTTTTAAATGTATATATGGTTCTCATGTCGCACTCTTGCTTCATTTTAAATAAGCTTTCTGGCTAAGGTATTTCTGTTTGGAGTTTCCGTGTCCTCCCATCTGGCTTCTTCCCACAGTCCATGAATGTCAAAGATATGAATGTTAGGTTAACTGGTGATTATGAATTTTCCATAGGTGTGAAATTGAGCAAAAATAGTTATTTGTCTCTCTGGTTTAGTCCAGTAATAGAGTGGTGACCAGGGTGTATCCTGCTTCTCATCCAATGACAGTTGGGATAGGGGCCAGAGCCACCATGAGATGGAAAAGCTGAGAAAAATGGATAGACAGATGAACATGCGGTTACCAACCTTTATGGCTTGTGGCCTTTTCAAATGGAGCAATGGCCACTATGACAGATTGTCATACGTTTTGGCCACAATGTGGGTTTGAGTTAAGAGCATTCGAAGTTAAGAATGAGGTTTTGTTTCTTACATTGATATATTTGGATGAAAAAAATTGAAAACCCCATCCATCTTCTTCCGTTTATCCGATTTGGAGGTAGGATGTGGGAGCCTATCCCAGGTGGCATGGAATAAGAGGCAGGGTATACCCAGGACAGATCGCCAGTCTGTCTGGGCTAACAGAGAGAGAGACAACCATTCATACTCATATGTGAGCTTTCCCTTAGAGAAAGGGCAAGGACCTCAGTCATTCAGGAGTGACTCAAAGTAAACCCGCTGGGCATCAAATGGGTCAGTTGGGGTGGTGTTACAGGTGTTTCTGGCATGTGCAACCCGGAAGTAGCCCGAAGGATTGTAGCTTTTAACTGGCTTGGGAACACCTTGGTATTTCTACAGAAGTGCTGAAGGCAGGTAGGGAGGGCCGGACATTTTTACTTAGACTGCTGCCCCCTGCTGTAGAAAATGAAAGGATGTCCTGATTCCCTATTTGGATCTCTATTAGCTCACAAGAATTACACATGATGATTTAGAAAGTCAAATGAAATGCACACTGTGTATTCATCCAATGAGCTTCTGATTTTTAGATACCCATTGATATCATGGACTTTTGACACATCTTATTGGAATTAACACAGTGGCATAGATCACCTATAGACAGTAAGGGACAAAACATGTTTTGGTACATAAGCAGAACAGCAATTACGAGATATCAAAACTTGTGCCGTCTAAACTTGCCCCAATTTTCAAATTTGTACAAATCAACCAAGCATTCCTTCCCTAACCATATGTATAAACTGTGTACTGCTATGTGCATGTGTTTTCACATGCAAGACAAGTGTGCACTTCAACTGAGTCCTTTCAAGCGCGCTATAAAAGCTGCTGTCAGCTGTATACCATGGCGCCAGATAGGAAAT